CCTGCTTCCTCAGGCTCCAACCCCAAAGTGGGGGGTGTCCGTTTCTCCCCGACTCAGACGGTGGAGGGAAGCTCCAGCCACGTCCACTTTGATGAGAAGCTTCACGACTCCATGGTGATGGTCAGCCAGGAGAAGGACGGGGACTTCCTGGTCAAGGTGAGCCTGGGGGGGGGAGGGACCTGGGGAGGGGCTGGGTCCTTTTCTCTCTGGTTCAGCCGTCCTCCCTCCCTCCCTCCTTTTCTCTCCCTTCCTTCCTTTCTCTTCCTCTCTCTCCCTCCCTCCCTTCCTCCCTTTTTCTCTTTTTTCCTTCCTCCTTTCCTCCCTTTTTCTCTTTTTTCCTTCCTCCTTTCCTCCCCTTCTCTTTCCTTCCTCTCTCCCCTCCTCCCTCTTTTTCTCTCTTTTTTTTCTTTCTCCATCCTTTCCTCCTCTTCCTTTCTTCTTCCCTCCCTCCCTCCACCTTCCCTCCCTCTGGAGCAGGGGATTGGACTACAAGAGCTCCAAGGTCTCTTCCAACTGTTATTCTGTTCTGTTCCTCCTTCCCTCCCTTTCTCCTCCTTTCTTCCTTCCCTCCTCCCTTTTCTCTTTCTGCCTTCCTCCCTTCTTCCCTCCTTCCCTTTTCTCTCTTCCTTCCTTCCTCCCTCCCTCCTTCCCTCCCTCCCCTTTCTGTTCCTTCCTTCCTCCTTCCCTCCATTTCTCTTTCATTCTCCCTCCTTCCCTCTCTTTCTCTTTTTTCTCCCTTCCTCCCTCCTTCCCTCCCTTTTCTCTCTTCCTTCCTTCCTCCCTCCTTCCATTCTCCCTCCCCTTTCTGTTCCTTTCTTCCTCCTTCCCTCCATTTCTCTTTCATTCTTTCTCCCTCCCTCCCTCCGTCCTTCCCTTTCTCTTTTTTCTCCCTCCCTCCCTCCTTCCTTCCCTCCCTTTCCTTTCTCCCTCCTTCCCTCCCTCCCTCCCTTTTCTCTCTTCCTTCCTTCCTCCCTCCCTCCTTCCATCCTCCCTCCCCTTTCTGTTCCTTCCTCCTTCCCTCCATTTCTCTTTCATTCTTTCTCCCTCCCTCCTTCCCTCTTTCTCTTTTTTCTCCCTCCCTCCTTCCTTCCCTCCTTTTCCTTTCTCCCTCCTTCCCTCCCTCCCTTTTCTCTCTTCCTCCCTCCCTCCCTCCTTCCATCCTCCCTCCCCTTTCTGTTCCTTCCTTCTTCCCTCCCTCCTTCCCTCCATTTCTTTCATTCTTTCTCCCTCCCTCCTTCCCTCTCTTTCTCTTTTTTCTCCTTCCTTCCCTCCCTCCCTCTTCTCTCTCTCTCTCCCTTCCTCCTTCCATCCCTTCTTCCCCCCTCCATCCCTTTCTCTTTCTCCCTTCTTCCTCCCTCCGTCCCTTTCTCTCCCTCCCTCCCCCCTCCCTCCCCCTGTAGTTTTCCACCATCTCCCATGTCTGCAGCTCATCCCTTTCCCTTTTTCCCACCCACCCCCTCCCTCCCTCCCTCCCTCCCTCCAGGCCTAATTGCTTCTGGTGTTTGGGATGCAAAAACCAATTATCCCGACTTTCTGATTGCCACAGCTGCCTTGGCGCTTTGCTTTGCTTTTGGGGCCTAAAAAAAAAAAATCCAGGGGAGGGGGTGGAATAGGCTGGGGGAGGGGCAGCAGGTCCCCCCCCCCCAGTGGCTTCGTCTCTGAAGCTTCATTTCCTCCTGTTCCATATTAGGAGAGAGAGAGAGAAAAAAAAAGCCGTGGACACGTCAGACATTCAAAGGGGATAGAATATTTATGAGGCTCGATCTGGCTCCGCTTTGCAACCTGGTGCAGAATTGATGGATCCCTGGGGAGGGGATTATGGGCTTCGGAGGGGGAGGAGGAGGAGGCAGCCTCACGGGGGTCTGTTGGGGGAGAGCAGAAGTAGCCCCAGTTGGTTGGAGAAGCCCACCCACCCCACTTCCTCAATAGACCCAGGGGTCTCCAACCTTGGCCCCTTTAAGACTCGTGGACTTCAACTCCCAGAATCCCCCAGCCAGCATGGCTGGCTGGGGGATTCTGGGAGTTGAAGTCCACGAGTCTTAAAGGGGCCAAGGTTGGACGCCCTTGTGTTAAATCATGGCTGGCTGGGGGATTCTGGGAGATGAAATCCACGAGTCTTAAAGGGGCCAAGGTTGGACGCCCTTGCATTAGACCATAATAGCTGGGGAATTCTGGGAGTTGAAGTCCACGAGTCTTAAAGGGGCCAAGGTTG